TAGGTACCCTAACCCAACATAATACATCTTTTTGTTTGATATATTTATTATAATGTTTTTAAACTTCAACCCTAACTTGATTTACTTTCAATATTTTTGAAATTTCACTATTATCTTCCTCTTACATCACATCTTTATGTCGGACATCTACTAAGCTTTATATATTATAGTTAAAAATTAAAATTATGTAAGAGGAAGATAAATATAAAATTATATAAATTTTGGAATTAAATCAAGTTAGAAGTTGAATTAGAAGAACATTGGACAATTACAATGTGTATATATGATACAAAATGAATTAATATTGTGAGTTTGGGTACCTAAGGTTATATACCCTTAAGGGTATATTCACTTTTCTCATATATATATATATATATATATATATATATATATATATATATATATATATATATATATTTTTGTTATGTTTTTGTAACACCCAACAAACGAATAGAAGTTATTGATATTACATAATTTAAATATATCTTTATTACACTGTGTATTTTAAAATAAACACAATGTTTTACAACATATTAATAAAAATTATAGATTTAAAATTGATAATATAAAATAATTATTATAAGAACATATTTTTATATTATATATATTATTATATTATAGGTAACAGACGAATAATTATCTGATTTATACTATTAAAACTACACGTTATGTTCTTTAAAATACAAAACATACAAAAATATATAATTAAATAAATAAATACTGCATGGATAAGTGGTGAGTGCAAAGCTTTCATTAAAACGAGGTTAAGATTCTGTTCTTGGACAATTTCCAAGTGTCCTGGTGACTGGTGTTGGGAATCTTTCATCCTCCTATATTTTCAATTTTAAGAACAAATACAGTTTTGCTTCTTTTTGATTTATAAATCTTCAATTTTAATCCAAGTTTTAAAAAATTGTTGTCAAAAGTCCTAATAGTTGAAAAATATTATATGGTTACTCCTTTTGGCTTGTTACCACCGATCAATGACACTATGTCTATGTTAAATGTGTATAAAATAACTAGAATTTCCTGTTACTAAATTGCTAATTTTTAATTTAATCATATTCATATTCAAATTAAAAACAAAGCTATAAACTAAAAAGGCTAAAATTGTAATTTAATCACATTTGTTCCTCCTCCCCTCCTTGGTAACCGGTAATAGACAACTGACGATACACATCTTCAATGACTACCTTTATCTCCGATGACCGACACCATCAACGGACACCACCTTCACTACCTATTGTCACCGCTCTCCTTCTCTCATTGCTATCATTCACCTACCCTGACCACTAAACCTCTTACTTCTTTCCTTCCCTCACTACGGTTCATATTGGTGCCATAGACGAAGAGGATGTGATGAGGTTGCCGACATAGTTTAGCCAACTTACCATAACCACATATATGAATAAGGTTTTATTATTATTATTATTATTATTATTTTATATATAAACTTTCGGTGGTGGTGATGGTTCTCCAAAGATGAAGAGGGTGTAAGGAGTGGTTGGAGCAACCAGTGTGTGAATATGATAGTGGTGGAGGGTGTTTTAGTAGTAGTGGTGGTGGTGATGATGGTGGTTGGCGTTTTTAATGGTGACGATTAGTGACATCGGTGAATTCAAGGGTAGGGATCGACGGTAGTTTTAGAACCTTGGTATCATCAACGAGTTCAAGGATGGGATAGGTAGATAGTGGTCCCTTTATATTTAATATATATATATATATATATATATATATATATATATATATATATATATATATATATATATATATATATATATATATATAGAGAGAGAGAGAGAGAGAGAAATGAATATGTGGTTGTCATGTATATAATGTTAGGTATAAAATCATTAAAATTGACTTCATTTTGATTAAAAAAATATATTTTCTTTCATTTTTAGTTTCTTCCTATTGCCTTTGAACTCATATTTTATTTGATTTCGTGACTCATCCCTAATGAATATGTGGCTGTCATGTATATAATGTTAGGTATAAAATCATTAAAATTGACTTCATTTTGATTAAAAAAATATATTTTCTTTCATTTTTAGTTTCTTCCTATTGTCTTTGAACTCATATTTTATTTGATTTCGTGACTCATCCATAATATCTATCTATTTCGAATGTGTTTTATTAGACTGTTAGAAGGTTTCATAACTTCGTTCAATACCTATCTTATGTATACTTGTATGTTTTTTCTGTGATGGCTTATAGAAAGAGGTTTAGTGGGTTTTTTTAATGAATAATTTCAGTCTTTCAATGTAGTATTCGGTATTAAATTTCAATCTGAAGACCTATAAATAGGTTATAGGCATATATTATTTTGTTTTTACTAAGTATTGTGTGCCAGAATGCACAAATTTAACTACATTTATAATAGGAAATTTTCGGATTTTTAGGGATGATTAATTCTCCTGATTTAAAAAATCTGAATTTTCTTAATTAATTCAATTTTTATTCTAACGTAATTTGTAAACATAACCGATTTTATTCTATCAGAATATTTTTTGTTAGAATGATGCTCTTTTAGAATTTTATTCTAATAGAATATTATTGAAGAAAAACAAAATTTTTGAATAAGATGTTGAAAAATAACAACATTCTAATATATATTCTTATACATCCGAACTTATATACAAATTCATACATATTCTTACAGACTAAAATCCTTATACATTTTAATATAATTATACATATTCTAAAAGAATATCAACAAAAATGAATAAAATTCTTAAAAAACAACAACATTCTTAAATTGTGAGTATGATCAAACTTTATTCATTCTTCAAGTTATTCCTATTAGGTCTTCAACACCTTCTTCCATTCATTCCTATCACAAATACAACAAAAACTAATAATGATTAAAAAACATGTTACTTGTAATTAACTATCACTTAATATATTCTGGTAGAATACATATAATACATTCTGGCAGAATACATAGATTTTATTCTAGTAGAATACATTCTGATAGAATACATTCAAAAGTATCGTATTTACTGCTAATATAATTTTAGATTTAAAATATACAATAACTAGGGACAATAGAAATTGGAATTCAAAATCACAAATTGAACCAAAATAATACACAGATAAATTAATTATCTTTTTAAACAATTACATAAAACATGTGTTTTTAGTAATTCTTACAGAATGCATACCACAAGGTTAAATTCTTTAGATTCTCTTTCAAGCATTTCAACAAACACTTGTTAGGCATTATCATCAAATACGCCAAAAACCATATTTCATTTACTTGCAATAGTTTACCTATAAACATAATTTCCGGCAACATATTTGATTTAGAATGCATACCACAAGGTTCAAAAATATTGTATTACTTATTTAATATATGAAAGGAATAAAAACCTCCAGAAGGGCAGATTTACGAGTTCTATCAGACTGTCTGGCAAGTCGGATTTTCTTCAAGACATACCTGAAAGTGTAGACTTTTCATCAATCGAATTGACCTAGATTAATAACATATATCTGAAAGATTTAAACAATAGACATGGAAGCCTCACATTTTCTTTTCACGTTTATGCCTCACAATTAGAGCAAAAGCAAAGGAACCCTTCCCAATCTGCTCTAATATTTCGTAGTTCTCCATCTGATGAACCCCAGCAGTCTCTTATATTCCACTCTGCTTTATTTGCATGAATTTCGTAGTTCTCCCGTCGGATGCCCACATGCCGACAGAGATAGAGAGGAGAACAGTGATGAGGTCGGTGATTTGCATTAGGGTTATGAAGATGATGGTTTGAAATAAGACAAATAATAGTAGACGTGATTTAAGGGATATACCAAATATATAAGAATTTATTTTTGGTTTATAAAAACAAAATGACTCATCTACCTTTTTTTTACATTAATGATTTATTTTTTTCTTAAATTGTTATTGGTGCATACATGCACACAATAGTTGTTAGAAACATTTGAACCTAGTTATCTCTTTCTCTCTCTCTCTCTCTCTCTCTCTCTCTCTCTATATATATATATATATATATATATATATATATATATATATATATATATATATATATATATATATATATATATATATATATATATATATATAACAGGGAAAGAAATATAGAATCAATACATTTGTCATTTTACACGTAATTAACAAGGCGAAATATTGGTAATAAGCTAAGTGATCAATCTTGATGGATTTCGAAATCATGGGAACATTCACATCAATTTTTCAAAACTTAGACTAAAACTACCAAGTAACGCCAATCATACGGACCAAAACTGGTATTTACTCTTAATTTAACTTATTAAATAGTATATTACTTTTTGGTAGCAATATGACCAATTTGGTGTTTTTTTTTCTAGATTTAATTTAATTAAACTAGAAAAGAAGTTATTACAAAAAAAAAATTAACGATAAGGCAGAGTCATGAAGCCAAATATTTCAGCATAATTTATCTTTGTTACATCTATTTGAAATCCAAAAAACGTCCTATCTATCACATCATAAAAACATAAAGACATCTTAGGGATTATCGTTCCAAAATAATATGGAATTCTGAAAATTCAAAAGACACCAAAAAGTAGTCAAAACGACTGCATCAAAAGCCTTTCATTATCCGCCCCTCAACGAGACAAAATCGGACCAAGAAAGTAAAGAGACTGAACATAAATCTGATCAGAAAGACAAAAACTTCACCAGATAACAATATGACACCATAAATCAATCAACTCAAAACAACCTTTAAAAAGATGAACAATGGTCTCCACTGCACGAGACCACATCGGACACATAATCGACTCCACCACAATGGTCCTATAAAAAAGTTTTCTCTTGTAGGGATACTCTATAACTGCACCCTCCAGATGAGAATATTGAGTTTAATGGGGATCCAATTATTCCATCTTATCTAAAACATAGATAAGCGTGGTCATTTTGAGGAAGAAGGAAAATTTCATTCTTGTCATGAAAAAGATGATGTTCATGTGATCCATTTGGTATTTATAAAACTTTAGATAGAATGAAGGATGATGAGATGAATAATAAAGATTCATGTGAGTATAGAGGTGGCCAATCCACTAATTTTAGAAAGGATGCTAAAGATCATCGTGAGGGGTATTTTCGGAAAGAACATGGTAAAAATTCCATAAGAAACTCATCTTTCATTTCAGTAGCTATTGAGTTTGAAACATGTTCTCCATCTCCTACTGTTGTTAAATTCACGCCCCCAACCCCAACTCATGCTCCTACGCACCGACAACATACTTGCTTGCTGGTATTGTTTTGATGACCATAGCTATTGCCGATTTCGTTGTTGTTGGCGTCATAACAGATCCAAGACCTAATGACGTGTCGTCTGTTGCATCTGATTCTATTATAGTTGCTGCAAAAAGTATAAATGGGATTGTTTCCGTAGGTTTCTACGGTGGTTTTTGTAGGGTATTTGGGATTATAGATTTGGAGGACAACTTATCCCATCCACCGAGTTTTTCTAATTTTAATGGCAATGATGGGTTCTCGGAGAAGTCATATAATAATTATTCGTTTTTTAGTGAAATTCAAAATACTTTGGAAATGGGAAAAGCAATGGGGTATAATTTGGATGGGTGTTTCGACCGAGTGAAAGAAATAGTTGAGGGAAACGGGGATAAAGTGGTTTTAAAATCAATTGTCTTTTTATTAACATCCAAAGAGCGGGTTGTAAAGACAAGCGGTGGTGGATTAGAGCTTTTTGTCATAATCATAAAGTTAACTTTTTAGCAATACAAGAAACGATGATGGAAGATATTGATTTATGTATTGTTCGGTCTTTTTATAACACGCCGTTTTCACTTCACAGTAGAATTTAATATAGCCGTTTATTTATAAAATCCAAAGTAGGAATATATTACTTTTTATCTAAAGTAATCATCATGAAAGTTATAGTGGTCGTAATAAAAATTATGTAGATATAAATAACGTGTAAATCTGACTTTGTATGAGGAAGTTATGATTCTTCGAAGTTTCGGTGCGACACAGTACATCAGTAGGCCACACATAAATCAAAATAAAAATTGGTTGATTGTTAGCCAAAACAATGTAAAAGAGAGTTCAAGATCTCGAAAATACGAATTCATCGATATAGAGACAGTCGAGAACGAAGTTCGTATGAAGGATTAATGTTTTTTGCACGTATTTTAACAACGTAAGCTCCATAAAATTTGAATTTAAAATAGAGTGGGAATTAGCTTCTTGAGTGTAACACCCAAAAATTCAAGCCAATTTAAAACTTTTTAAACAACCCAAAAACCATCAGTTATTACAAACTTGTTTTCAAAATGTAGAATATCAGAGTATCCCAGAAACATAGTCATAAAAAGTGAGGAGCTGTACAATCACGCCTTTGCCCTACCACGATCATCTGATGCACCTGAAACAATAAAATGAAACTGTAAGCCCGAAATGGACCATGCTACTCTCGGTTCAAGTACATACCAATTATAGTTATGGGCTTAGACACTAAATCCAACAGTCTCCCACTTGGATAAGTCTAATAACTATAACTGCAAGTACGACTTAAAACACCAACTAGCAATCGTAGCTCTTAAAAGCCTCTGTCAAACTGTGACGCGCCATTTTAGATAAGTGATCATATAATCCTCTGTTCTCAAGATATCAGCTGTGACAATCGTCAATCTTGAGTCAAGTCAAGCCGGTCAACTCTATTAAACCTTGTGTATTAGAGTTGGTGTTATGTTCGTATTGTATAACTTGCTATATTAATGGGAAAACATCACTAGAGAAAAGTTTTGTGTTAAAAATTTCCTAAGCCTTAGTACTAATCAGTGAATTAAACTGATGAAAACCATGTTGCATACTCATCGGGAATGTGTAAGATCCTTAAACAAGGCTTAACAGGGTTTACGAACCATGCATTGCGGTGCCGGACACTCACAACTGTCCCACATGGATCCTCTCTCAATCGTTTTCACTCTATCTCTGTTTATGACAAATCTCTCCTAAATCTCTCCAAGTATGTGAAATCTCTCTCAAATATCTCTCTGTATGAGAAATCTCTCCAAGAATGTCAAATCTCTCCCAAATCTCTCTAAGTAGGTGAAATCTCTCTCAAATATCTCTCTATATGAGAAATCTCTCCAAGAATGTTAAATCTCTCTCAAATCCCTCCAAGTATGTGAAAACTCTCTCGAATATCTCTCTATATGAGAAATCTCTCCAAGAGTGTTAAATCTCTCCCAAATCTCTCTAAGTAGGTGAAATCTCTCTCAAATATCTCTCTATATGAGAAATCTCTCCAAGAATGTTAAATCTCTCTCAAATCCCTCCAAGTATGTGAAAACTCTCTCGAATATCTCTCTATATGAGAAATCTCTCCAAGAGTGTTAAATCTCTCCCAAATCTCTCCACGTATGTGAAATCTCTCTCAAATATCTCTCTGTATGAGAAATCTCTCCAAGAATGTCAAATCTCTCCCAAATCCCTCCAAGTATGTGAAAACTCTCGCAAATATCTCTTTGTATGAGAAATCTCTCCAAGAATGTCAAATCTCTCCCAAATCTCTCCAAGTGTGAGAAATCTCTCCCAAATCTCTCTCAAAAGCTTCCCGCAACTTTTTGGAATCATTCGGGTCATTCCGGCCCTTAACCGGGTCAAAAAAACGGCTTAAAACGGGGCGAAAACGAGAAAAATGGACCTTAGGAACCGAAACCCTCTTATAAGAGGCGAAGTTCCTTAGGACCGAAAGGTCCTCTTAGGAACCGAAGGTAAGAAGACCGAAACCGAGAGCAAGAAGCAAGAACCGGAACCGAAAGTACTGTTCACGACAGAGCGCTCGGTGCCTCTCGGTCCGCCCCCACTCTCTGTTCGCGCCGCACTCTCGGTCCGACCCCGCCTCTCTGCCTCTCGCGCACTCTCGGTCCGACCCCGCCTCTCTGCCTCTCGCGCACTCTCGGTCCGACTCCGCCTCTCTGCCTCTCGCGCACTCTCGGTCCGACTCCGCCTCTCTGCCTCTCGCGCACTCTCGGTTCTTCCCTCCTTCTCCTCTCCTCTCGGCTCCTTCCCTTCTCTCTTCTTCTTCTCTCGGTTCCGCCTCCCTCTCTCTCTCGGTTCAGCATAAGAGGGCCGAACCTCGGCCAGGCTTCGCATTTTTGTCATTTTCAGCCCATTTTTGATATTTTTAACATTTTAAGCCCGTTTTTCGTGATTTTAAAGCGGGATTTTCTCCAGAAATTTTATTTTAACATAATAAACCCTAAATATTCATAATTTAAACATATTTTTATAAAAATCATTAATTAAATAATAAAGATTTAATGGGGGATTTATTTAAGGTAGAGTGTTGACTTTGCCTTAACTTATGACACAAGCAACCACCCCACACCCACTCTATGACCAGCCATACCTCCCCACCTTACCTATGTCACTTCAATGTTCCCTTACACTCAAATTTCACTCACTCCCACGTTTTTGAGCTGGAACAAACAACCACACTCCTCATTTTCTCTCATTTCTCTCATTCCACTAAGTAACAAACACCACTTTTTCTCTCAAACTCTTCTACACAAATTTTCGAGATCCAAGGCTGATTTCAAGTGTTCTTCCACACTTAGTAAGTAAAAATTCATCCTCCCTATTACTATTTCACTTCATTCTACTCAAATCTTTGGTTGCTTACACAAACTCCCTAACTATGATGTTAGATTCTCGAAAACCTTCAAGGCATCTCCAAGTGTTCTTGAATTAAACACTTCCATCCTTCAACAATCATCTACTGAAATCACTCAAGGTGAGTTCATACCCCTACATTTTCATAATTTCTCAAGTTTTCAGGGGGTGAATACAAGTTAAAACACTAAGAACCTATCAAAAATTTTCTAACAGCCTTCATCAGAAAAGTTCAACTCCATTCACGGACTGTTTTGGGAATCTTAAATATTTTTGTTTTCAAAACTGTACAAGTTGCAAATAGTTCAAGTTTTTAGCTTTAAAATGGCTACTTGCACATCTCCATACGATTTTTCTACAATTTATGGTGATTTTTACAAAACTGCCTATCATTTCAAACAACAATCCGGACCAGTCTGTGATTTTGGACTTTTTCACCCAAGTTAGAGGTCATGTTAATTTGTGATAAAAATTATGAACAAACTAGACACATTTTGTGAACTCTCAGAGTTTACGGATCTAGATTTCGACTTCGTATGATTTTTCTATGATTTTTCCAAAACAGGGCAGAATCGCTAAATTTTGCCAACAGCATGTAAATATCATAACACTTTGTATTATGTTGAGCAAAGTGTATAATCATAAGTTTTAGTATTTGTATGTGTTTCCTTGTTAGTTTACCATTATGAACTGAAACTATGAAATTCATACTAAATATTAAATATTACTCATTCATTTTGGAACACGTATCATTAGACTATAAAAAGTATAGTTTGATAAATTCACAATACTAATACATTTCCATAAGAGGATTCATACATATTACATACATTTTAGATAAACTATAATAGGTATAGTTTATGATACATCACTCAACGCACTCGTACCAAAAAGGGTACATCCATACAAGAAAGATTTATATTCACACACATTTCACGTAAACCTGTTAACCTATGTTGTGAGACTCTCTCTCTCTCCCCGTACGTCCGAGTGCGGGATATAATTCCTGGTAGTTATAATCAGAATCTCCTTGAGGGAGAACGTGATACTTGTATATAGATCTATATTGGGTTTGACACCCCACACCTTGCTGCTAGCTACAGTGGGACCTGCAGGTCTACGGGTGACAAATGTCATTTCATTTTCGCGACGCCTGAGAAACGTTGTGGCAGGTTCACATAGTCACAGTATGATTATAGCGACTCACTTAGGGGGATAACAATTCATGAAGTTTACGGGTTTCATAAAACCGAAGTAGGTTTTAGGTTGATAAAAGAAATTTTACTTTCCATAACATTTTAAACTCACAACGTTGTTACTAAGAAACGATGATTTCTCATACACTCTAGTCTTTGGTTATAAGGCTACATTTCTCGGATTTCAAGGGAAATACCGGATTTTTCTGAAACAAACGCGACATTTACATGTGAAATACTCCTACTAAGTTTATTAATAAAAGCTTATGAACTCACCAACCTTTGTGTTGACACTTTTCAAACAACTTGTATTCACAGGAAAACACTAATCAGGTTATCAAGTGCTTTTGAGGATGGGACGTTAAGGCGTCAAACTTTTCACATTTTGACAACATATTGTAATTGATTTTGAAACATGTAATTCATACAAGTGATGTAACTTTTTCAATTATATATATGTTGGTTGTGTTTGCTTAAATTACTATTAAAATTGTGGTTATGATGCTATACATGAAGTCCTCCACCCCCGGACGTTTCCGCCATCCTTGGTTTGGGGGTGTGACAGATTGGTATCAGAGCACGGTTTATAGTGAATTAAGTATGTCAACCACATAAGATATACAAACTATAAACACATTTGGGACTAAAAGTCTCTGATTCTTAAAGTGATTTAAAGAGTTGTACTTTTAGAAAACAAATAATTTCTTGTTTTAAAGTATACTTGCATGCATTCTATACTAGCATGGTGTCATAACTTAGGAGAACATAAATTGAAAGAGGAGGAGTCGAACATTATTAATACGCCTTAGCATGTGTAATCAGTTCTGGGAAGGATATAGCCTGATCAACTATATCCATCCAAGAAGTAACTTACGCACACTAAGGAATAGTCGTAATGAG